GAAGCATGGTCTGTGTACGTGTGTGAGGCATGGTCTGTGTACGTGTGTGAGGCATGGTCTGTGTGCGTGTGTGAGGCATGGTCTGTGTACGTGTGTGAGGCATGGTCTGTGTACGTGTGTGAGGCATGGACTGTGTGCGTTTGTGAGGCATGGTCTGTGTACGTGTGTGAGGCATGGTCTGTGTACGTGTGTGAGGCATGGTCTGTGTACGTGTGTGATGCATGGTTTATGTACGTGTGTGAGACATGGTCTCTGTACGTGTGTGAGGCATGGTCTGTGTACGTGTGTGAGACATGGTTTGTGTACGTGTGTGAGGCATGGTCTGTGTACGTGTGTGAGGCATGGTTTGTGTACGAGTGTGAGGCATGTTCTGTGTACGTGTGTGAGGCATGGTCTGTGTACGTGTGTGAGGCGTGGTCTGTGTACGTGTGTGAGGCATGGTTTGTGTACGTGTGTGAGGCATGGTCTGTGTACGTGTGTGAGGCATGGTCTGTGTACGTGTGTGAGGCATGGTTTGTGTACGTGTGTGAGCATGGTCTGTGTACGTGTGTGAGGCATGGTCTGCGTACGTGTGTGAGGCATGGTCTGTGTAAGTGTGTGAGGCATGGTCTGTGTACGTGTGTGAGGCATGGTCTGTGTACGTGTGTGAAGCATGGTCTGTGTACGTGTGTGAGGCATGGTCTGTGTACGTGTGTGAGGCATGGTCTGTGTGCGTGTGTGAGGCATGGTCTGTGTACGTGTGTGAGGCATGGTCTGTGTACGTGTGTGAGGCATGGACTGTGTGCGTTTGTGAGGCATGGTCTGTGTACGTGTGTGAGGCATGGTCTGTGTACGTGTGTGAGGCATGGTCTGTGTACGTGTGTGATGCATGGTTTATGTACGTGTGTGAGACATGGTCTCTGTACGTGTGTGAGGCATGGTCTGTGTACGTGTGTGAGACATGGTTTGTGTACGTGTGTGAGGCATGGTCTGTGTACGTGTGTGAGGCATGGTTTGTGTACGAGTGTGAGGCATGTTCTGTGTACGTGTGTGAGGCATGGTCTGTGTACGTGTGTGAGGCATGCTCTGTGTACGTGTGTGAGGCATGGTTTGTGTACGTGTGTGAGGCATAGTCTGTGTACGTGTGTGAGGCATGGTTTGTGTACGTGTGTGAGACATGGTCTGTGTACGTGTGTGAGGCATGGTTTGTGTACGTGTGTGAGGCATGGTCTGTGTACGTGTGTGAGGCATGGTCTGTGTACGTGTGTGAGGCATGGTTTGTGTACGTGTGTGAGACATGGTCTGTGTACGTGTGTGAGGCATGGTTTGTGTACGTGTGAGATGCATGGTCTGTGTACGTGTTTGAGGCATGTTCTGTGTACGTGTGTGAGGCATGGTCTGTGTACATGTGTGAGGCATGGTTTGTGTACGTGTGTGAGGCATGGTTTGTGTACGTGTGTGAGGCATGGTTTGTGTACGTGTGTGAGGCATGGTCTGTGTACGTGTATGAGGCATGGTCTGTGTACGTGTGTGAGGCATGGTTTGTGTATGTGTGTGAGACATGGTCTGTGTACGTGTGTGAGACATGGTCTGTGTACGTGCGCGAGTCATGGTTTGTGTACGTGTGTGAGACATGGTCTGTGTACGTATGTGACACATGATCTGTGCATGTGTGTGTGAGACATATGAGACACTGTTTCTCAAATAAGCATAAGATGCTAACATTACACAGAGAATAAAGAATGAACCAACAAGAATGCAATAAAAACGGTTGAGTACAAACAGTATAAACCAGAGTTCGACTGGAAGGAAGTGTAGACCAGGTCTGTAAACAGACCAGAATGGCAGGCATACGCCGGCCATCACCTGAATATAAAAGAACTAGTATAGATCACTATCGATTGCTTCCTCTACCAGGAAAGTTGCCAATGGTAGTTCAATGATTTTCGTACCTTGTCCTCATGGGGATTTTTGCCAGCACCTTCTGCCTTAATTATGCAGTCCACGGTCCTGGGTTCACCGGTGTCTCTCAATCTATACCACAGTGTGAGTGGTACAGTAACTATACCACAGAGTGTGAGTGGTACAGTAACTATGCCACAGTGAGTGGTACAATAACTATACCACAGTAAGTGGTACAATAACTATACCACAGTAAGTGGTACAATAACTATACCACAGTAAGTGGTACAATAACTATACCACAGTAAGTGGTACAATAACTATACCACAGTAAGTAGTACAATAACTATACCACAGTAAGTGGTACAATAACTATACCACAGTAAGTGGTACAATAACTATACCACAGTAAGTGGTACAATAACTATACCACAATGAGTGATACAATAACTATACCACAGAGTGTGAATGGTACAATAACTATACCATAGAGAGTGTGAGGTACAATAAATATACCACAGAGTGTGAGTGGTACAATAACTATACCACAGAGTGTGAGTGGTACAATAACTATACCACAGAGTGTGAGTGGTACAATAACTATACCACAGAGTGTGAGTGGTACAATAAATATACCACAGAGTGTGAGTGGTACAATAACTATACCACAGAGTGTGAGTGGTACAATAACTATACCACAGAGTGTGAGTGGTACAATAACTATACCACAGAGTGTGAGTGGTACAATAACTATACCACAGAGTGTGAGTGGTACAATAACTATACCACAGAGTGTGAGTGGTACAATAACTATACCACAGAGTGTGAGTGGTACAATAACTATACCACAGAGTGTGAGTGGTACAATAACTATACCACAGAGTGTGAGTGGTACAATAACTATACCACAGAGTGTGAGTGGTACAATAACTATACCACAGAGTGTGAGTGGTACAGTAACTATACCACAGAGTGTGAGTGGTACAATAACTATACCACAGAGTGTGAGTGGTACAATAACTATACCACAGAGTGTGAGTGGTACAATAACTATACCACAGAGTGTGAGTGGTACAGTAACTATACCACAGAGTGTGAGGTACAACATAACACTAGTCCAGTAGGAGTATTGACAATGTGAGGACCACATAAATAGTGTACCATCCTCTGACCTTCTGCAAGCATGCAATATCACATCTCAGTCACTGACCACGTGTTATATATCACATCTCTGGCACTGACCACGTGTTATGTATCTATCACTGACCACGTATTGTATATTACATCTCTGGTACTGACCTCATGTTATATATCACCTCTTTGGCACTGACCATGTGTCATATATCACATCTCTGGTACTGATCACGTGTTATATATCTATCACTGACCACGTATTAAATATTACATCTCTGGCACTAGCCACATGTTATATAATATCTGTGGCACTAACCACGTGTTATATAATATCTCTGGCACTGACCATGTGTTATATATCACATCTCTGGCACTCACCACGTGTATCAGTCATGGTGCTAAATTTATCAACTAATTCAATAATATTTTTAACATTAAAGCTAGAAACTCTGCCAGCAATTGGGCTCAATATATCTACTAGTCATTCGGATAATTTATGTGAATCCAATTTATGTGAATTTATGTGAATCCAACCAGACCCATAATTAGCTCCAATAACTCAGTTTTCTACACATTATCCAAATGGCTAATATATATATTTTGCCCAGTTGTTGGCAAAGTTTTTAACTTTAATGTTAAGAATAATATTGATTTAGTTGACAGATTAGGCCCTCAAAAATGACTTAAATAATGTACAGTATGGTTAGCTTCGATGTCTCTTTATTGTTAACAAAAGTTCCAGTGGACGACTTATTAAATTTCTTAACTGAAGATCTTTGTAATTACGATTACGGTTGCTTGCGCCATCAATAATTGAGCTTATTAAACTTCGTAATGTTGATGCAAGGTTTTCGTTTAATGGCGAGTTTAACACTCAGAAGTTTGGTATATCAAAGGTAAATCCTCTTCCACACTCAGAAGTTTGGTATGTCAAAGGGAAATCCTCTTTCACCTGTCCTTAACAATTTGTACAAGACTACTTAACAGAATTCTTCCCGATAAACTAAATAGTACTGATATGTGGACGATGTTATATACTGAGTTCCAGAAAATATAGATATAAACCATTTACTACTTGAATTAAATAGTCTAGCTCTATCCATAAAGTTCACTCTTGAGTTTTAGCAAAATAACTCACTGCCTTTTTTTAGATGTCTTAGTTGTTAAGGGGAAACAAGAAGATAAATTAAAAATAAACAGAAAACCAACATATAACTGGTCTTATGTTCACTATTATTCTTCAGATCTTGGTAGAGTTAAACTTAATTCTCATCCATGTTTTTGAGAGTTACATATTGGGAAATCAAACAATGACAGAGAAATATGTTCACCCAAGGATATGTCGGTTCTACTTTACCATGAAAAACCTTCTTTATATAAATTCTCTTCAAAAGAATTTTAAAAATCAAAGTTGTATTTAAAAATTTTGATAGTCAGAGTGGAAATAGCCTTCACTATTACAGCATCAAAAATAAAGCATTAGGAATGGACAAGTTTAATGCTCAAGGTTATGTAAATTAGATATATTTATAACGAAGAGAATGTGTGAGGAATTTAAACTATGTCATTCATATATTTTACATGACATGTGACATGACCAAATCTTCACTACACTCCCACGTTCAACATGCTGGGTCATGTGTGACGTGATATCTCAGCTTTTCGTGAAAAATCACGACAGTGCTTGGAATTTCATTTTCTTACACACACACACACACACACACACACACACACACACACACACACACACACACACACACACACACACACAGAAGATTATTTGGCCTGTATATTTCGATCCCTACTGGAATCCTCTTCAGCAGATAGATCCCAGAAAGGGATCGAAATGTATAGACCAATTAATCTTCTGACTTTGTCTCCATGTGGGTTACTATAGAGCATCGATAAGCGACTATTACACATTAATTATCCATATATATAAATAATGGCATGTCTGAAGCCCTATTTTATGACAGTTTACTTACCAGTAGGTGTAGCTAGCAGGAAGGAGAGGTGGTGAAGTCAGTGATGTCAGTGACACAGGACAGGTGATGTGTCAGGAGAGGTGGCGTCTAGTCACTGCCCTGGCACCGTCTTCACTGCCAGCCAGGCACTCACAGAACTGCTCGTTTTCTCTTACACAGTCATTCACTGCCGCTACTCCTAACTGGATCACATATTTTTTCTTAGTTTTAGCTTATGACTGGACGATATATGTATCATGTCTGTTAGTATGTTATGATGAGTTAGAGCTTCATAGTTATGTTATAATGATGTAGATCATCATTGTTATGTTATAATGATGTAGATCATCATAGTTATGTTATAATGATGTAGATCATCATAGTTATGTTATAATGATGTAGATCATCATAGTTATGTTATAATGATGTAGATCATCATTGCTATGCTACAATGATGTAGATCATTATGCTATGATGATTTTGTATATCATTATTGTTATGGAATAATGAATTTTAGATCATTATTATGTTATGGTGATGTAGATCATTATTTTTATGGTGTGATGTTTTTTGTATCATTATTGTTATGTTATGGTGATTTGTGTATTATTATTGATATGTTACGATAATGTAGATCATTATTATTTGGTTGACTTATCAGTATGTACATATATATATATATATATATATATATATATATATATATATATATATATATATAGGTAGTAGGTTGGTAGACAGCAACCGCCCAGGGAGGTACTACCGTCCTGCCAAGTGAGTGTAAAACGAAAGCCTGTAATTGTTTTACATGATGGTAGGATTGCTAGTGTCCATTTTTCTGTCTCATACACATGCAAGATTTCAGGTACGTCTTGCTACTTCTACTTACACTTAGGTCACACTACACATACATGTACAAGCACATATATACACCCCTCTCTGGGTTTTCTTCTATTTTCTTTCTAGTTCTTATTCTTGTTTATTTCCTCTTATCTCCATGGGGAAGTGGAACAGAATTCTTCCTCCGTAAGCCATGCGTGTTGTAAGAGGCGACTAAAATGCCGGGAGCAAGGGGCTAGTAACCCCTTCTCCCGTATATATTACTAAATTTAAGAGAAACTTTCGTTTTTCTTTTTGGGCCACCCTGCCTTGGTGGGATACGGCGGTGTGTTGAAAGATATATATGTATATATATATGTATATATATATATATATATATATATATATTATATATATATATATATATATATATATATATATATATATATATTATATATATATATATATATATATATATATATATAATATATATATATATATATATATATATATATATATATATATATATTATATATATATATTATATATATATGTATAATTACATAGTGTGATACAGTATGCAGTATAACATTTACAGTGTAATACAGTGTTGTTATGAGATGGTCAATTAATTTATTAAATACACCATTAAAAATGTCATTTTGTTTTTTATGTTCAATTAAAAATTAGTTCAGTCAATGACATAACAGCAGTGACTGTCAAGCTGACATAACAGCAGTGACTGCCAAGCTGACATAACAGCAGTGACTGCCAAGCTGACATAACAGCATGACTGCAAGCTGACATAACAGCAGTGACTGCCAAGCTGACATAACAGCAGTGACTGCCAAGCTGACATAACAGCAGTGACTGCCAAGCTGACATAACAGCAGTGACTGCCAAGCTGACATAACAGCAGTGACTGCCAAGCTGACATAACAGCAGTGACTGCCAAGCTGACAAAACGGACTGGGCAAAAGCAGTGACTGCCAAGCTGACATAACAGCAGTGACTGCCAAGCTGACATAACAGCAGTGACTGCCAAGCTGACATAACAGCAGTGACTGCCAAGCTGACATAACAGCAGTGACTGCCAAGCTGACATAACAGCAGTGACTGCCAAGCTGACATAACAGCAGTGACTGCCAAGCTGACATAACAGCAGTGACTGCCAAGCTGACATAACAGCAGTGACTGCCAAGCTGACATAACAGCAGTGACTGCCAAGCTGACATAACAGCAGTGACTGCCAAGCTGACATAACAGCAGTGACTGCCAAGCTGACATAACAGCAGTGACTGCCAAGCTGACATAACAGCAGTGACTGCCAAGCTGACATAACAGCAGTGACTGCCAAGCTGACATAACAGCAGTGACTGCCAAGCTGACATAACAGCAGTGACTGCCAAGCTGACATAACAGCAGTGACTGCCAAGCTGACATAACAGCAGTGACTGCCAAGCTGACATAACAGCAGTGACTGCCAAGCTGACATAACAGCAGTGACTGCCAAGCTGACATAACAGCAGTGACTGCCAAGCTGACATAACAGCAGTGACTGCCAAGCTGACATAACAGCAGTGACTGCCAAGCTGACATAACAGCAGTGACTGCCAAGCTGACATAACAGCAGTGACTGCCAAGCTGACATAACAGCAGTGACTGCCAAGCTGACATAACAGCAGTGACTGCCAAGCTGACATAACAAGCAGTGACTGCCAAGCTGACATAACAGCAGTGACTGCCAAGCTGACATAACAGCAGTGACTCCCAAGCTGACATAACAGCAGTGACTGCCAAGCTGACATAACAGCAGTGACTGCCAAGCTGACATAACAGCAGTGACTGCCAAGCTGACATAACAGCAGTGACTGCCAAGCTGACATAACAGCAGTGACTGCCAAGCTGACATAACAGCAGTGACTGCCAAGCTGACATAACAGCAGTGACTTCCAAGCTGACATAACAGCAGTGACTGCCAAGCTGACATAACAGCAGTGACTGCCAAGCTGACATAACAGCAGTGACTGCCAAGCTGACATAACAGCAGTGACTGCCAAGCTGACATAACAGCAGTGACTGCCAAGCTGACATAACAGCAGTGACTGCCAAGCTGACATAACAGCAGTGACTGCCAAGCTGACATAACAGCAGTGACTGCCAAGCTGACATAACAGCAGTGACTGCCAAGCTGACATAACAGCAGTGACTGCCAAGCTGACATAAACATTGATGCTATGAAAAAAAGGAGGTGATCAATTAGGGAATCAACACCCCCCCCCCTTTAAAAAAAACTTGAAAGAAGCATTAATAAAATAATATCAGCAAAACTTTGGGTATAATTGGCTGGCCAGGGCGATGATACAAAGATTATTATCACTGAGTATTAGGAAGTGACACGGTTTTAGGTGTCAGTGACCCTGTAAACCACCACAAGTGGTTTAAGCCACTTTATTGTGGTTTATATTCTCAACTCTGAGTGTTATTGTGTTTCCATGGGATCCTGTAAGTCGCATGTGGGTTATAAAAAAAAAAGAGGTCGATATCAGTTATGAAAGAATTCGTAGATTACTTTAACTATCCCTGACCCGGTAAGCCAGTGGAAGGCCTCTGTCAGAGGACCAAAAGCTCCAGCTTCTGGTCATCATATGACTAAGACCCGCGTCTGGAAACACTTGTCCTGTTTCCTGACAAACCTGACCTGACGTCCTGTCAGACCGCGGCACAATGTCCGTCACTGCCAGTGGTCAGTTTATCACCAATCACTTGTCATGCCTTGATGCTGGTGAAGGAAGCGCTCTTGATCCACGGAAATGTAGCTTTTCCCCACTACTTCTCATAAAAACCACATTACTTATTTCTCAGGTGCTAATCACCCTTGCGAATTTAGCGCTTCATCGTAAAACCAATTACTCCTCTCCTTACAGTCTATTCATCATTTTATTAAAAAAAAATAAGCGTTTCTCGTTACAATCTCACTTCCTGAAGATACAATCACCATTGATCTTGAAGATACAATCACCATTGATCCTGAAGATACAATCACCATTGATCTTGAAGATACAATCACCATTGATCTTGAAGATACAATCACCATTGATCTTGAAGATACAATCACCATTGATTATTGTAGACAAGATATATTTTCAGGTATTGCGGTCCGAAGTTGACCTAAAAGGATGTCAACATTAGCAAGTGTTAGAAGTAATTAGGTCATTTATCTGTACATTAGCTATGCTCTTTATAGCTATGCTTTATTGTGTGTAAATTATACGCTGTGTGCCTCGTATAGCAAAGTATATATACCGTGAAGAAGGACGAGAAGAACTGATGGCCTCGTATGTTATTTTTCTGATATTTTTAACTGGTTGGAACAATTGTCAACTAAATGAGCAAGACACATGTGCAACACCTGAGCAAGACATGTGCAACACCTGAGCAAGACACATGTGCAACACCTGAGCAAGACATGTGCAACACCTGAGCAAGACATGTGCAACACCTGAGCAAGACATGTGCAACACCTGAGCAAGACACATGTGCAATACCTGAGCAAGACATGTGCAACACCTGAGCAAGACACATGTGCAACATCTGAGCAAGACATGTGCAACACCTGAGCAAGACACATGTACAACACCTGAGCAAGACACATATGCAACACCTGAGTGTCTCTATTGTTGAAGAATTTCGCCTGCTCAGCAGACATCTTCAGTCGAATACAAAGGTGACTAATATACTGAAGGTAGTGAAAGAAATAATAATAATTAATAATAATAATAATAATAATAATAATAATAATAATAATAATAATAATAATAATAATAATAATAATAATAATAATAATAATATATTTATTTCTACAAGTACCCAGGGTAAGTGACAAGAAAGAGAACGTCTGTCTGTCAAGGCTGAGGGACACCTTAAAAATCTGTTTTTTTCCAGTGTCTCCCTTTCGTTAGTCATCTCTATATTTGACTGAAAAAGGCCTGCTGAGCAGGTGAAATGTTTCAATATTAAAGATACCTAACTGTTGTACCTGTCTTTCTCATCAGTTTCTCTGTATTATGAATATTTAAATGGTAAACAGTTCGGTCTTTATTCCGAAACGTTTCACCCACACAGTAGGCTTCTTCAGTCGCGTATAGAAAAGTTTGCAGTAGCAGTAGAGATGTAAAGACGATATAATCAGTCCATCAGCTTTGAAAACGTCGTTTTGAGGTAGTCACTCCCTCAGCTTGGAGAAGAGTTTTGTCCCATAGTCTGGAACAATGTTCCAGACTATGTAACAAAACTATCCTCGTGTTGCATAACCCCAGCCCCCCGT